TGGAACAGGCCAGGGACTGATCGTATATTTCCTGTGCAATTCCGGCCGGAATCCGGCGGCAAGGAACCTGTCGGAACTTGCTGGAATCGGCGAAAACTGTGCCGGAATCGAGAAGAGCTGTACCGAAACCGACTCAGATTTCAACGGATCCAGTCGCCGGAATGATCGACCTGGGTACGGACAGAAACAAGCATAGATAAGAAGAGAGATGGAAGAAAAGAAACAAATATGGAGAAAGATAGTCTATGATACAACGGCCTAATAGTGAACGAATAAATTTAACATTCCCCGACAATTATATCCTGCCAGCTATTTTATGTTCGAGCACGTGTTTGTCTAAACCCTCGAATACGCATAACACTCTAACCATTCAGAGATACGTAATAAATTTAAATGAATCGTATGCCTAGATATTTATCGAAAAAGACATGAATGTTAGCGCGATGAAGAAAGATTTCCAATTTCTTTGGAACGAAAAATAAAAGGGTACCTAGAATGCAGGGGAATATGATTTGTAATGCCGAGATAATTTGTTTTTACTTTTTATGATAAAGACGAGATAGATATTTGGACAAAAGAACGAAAAGAGGAGCTTGGATATTGTGTGAATATTATCAATTTGTTCACAGTTTTCTTCAAATAAAACTTCTTTCATCTCTACTTTTGATTCACATCACATTTGGAATGGTTTGTCTTCATTATTGGAATCTTCAGCTATTTAATTGATTGTTCTTGTTTCAGTTAGATTCATCATCCAACTTTGTCGAAACTTTTCCTTTGAATTGATGTGAAAAATTCATTGATTGATTGATTTTTACTGTAAATCGTTATGAAATGAAAGCAGTCAATGCAATATTGATCTTCATTTGAGTGTTGTTCATATACATTCATGATCTCATTCGAGATCGAGCGTCCAATTCATTGTTTAATATGACAAATAATTGACCTTCGACTTTCTAATCTTCACAATGAACCAATCTTGTACGTGTGCAGAATGTAGATGATGAAAACGAGGGAAATTTTTATCGAAAAATATTCGCAAGAAGAGATATGCGAATTCGCGTTAGTTTCAACAAAATATTCTCCTTCGTTCACTAAAGATTTGCATTTGAAAATGTTCGTCTCAACGAAATTATTCTCCCTTGATGATAAATGAGTAAAAGTAGAAAAGAAAAGAGACAAAGAAGTTTGTATTGTATGATTGGAAAGTCGTTTTGATTTTTAAGCATAGATTGTTGATAAAGAGGATTTTGTCGTGGAAACTGTTTCGACTTGATTTAGAATTGAAAGGATTATTCAATTGAAAGATTGACCTCATGAATACTCTGCGTTGTAATGATGCTCATCGGTAATTAATTCGTCTTGAAACTATTGTGAAGCTTTCCACTTAAAGTCAAGGGTGGAATGTGTTCAGAAGATTACAAAGTCTCATTTGTTGACTAAAATTTCTTTTAAAACAATTCTTTTCATTCAGTGAAGATCAAATCGACTTCTGTTCGATTTATCATAGCTGATTCTAAACACTTGTTAATTCTCATTCCATTTTCACGCCTTATTCAATTAAAACCAATTTCTTCTCGGGAATGAGAATGAAGTCATTCGGCAATCATCGAAATTTGATCTAATCCCGAAAAGAAAGTGTATTACTAGAAAGAAGATTCTTTCTGTGGAATGTTAAAAAGTAAGAATTTACTTTATTTTTAGAAAAACTAAGAATGAATGACAGAGCATTCCATAATGCTTCTTTTATTTTCCATCGTTCCATCAATCTGGATTTGATGGTATTGAGAGCATCTGAGAACACTGCTTTTATCATTTCCTTAAAGCTAAAGCTACCTTTATAATTCTGTTACCCAAACGTTCACATAGTACTGATGGTTACGAATCATTTTATTCGAAACAAAAACAATGAAAGATCACATCGAAGAAAGTAGAGCAAATGATAATGAGTAGTGCACGAGACAAATACGAGCGAAAGGATATACTGTAAAAAAGGGTATATTCCACAGATTCTAAATACGTTTCGATCAAATGGGCAACTTTTCATCTATATTTTAGTTTCTACTCTGTTTTTTAACTGAATAATTTGGTTTGAGTTTGACGACATTTGCAAAAATTCAAGCATCGATTCACCAGTGGTTGCATTGATTTGTGAAATGTCTTCCGAAACATAGAGCTCGTGCCATAGCTAATATAAAATGGCAAAGCAAATTTGTAATAAAAAAGAATCAGACTCGCTTGTTGAATGAGAGTTTCAATTTGCTGACGTTCAACACTCTTCTTAACAGAACTTGTGAGGAGATTGTATGCAAATGCGCTCGACCGGAGAGCTCCGATGACGGCACCTATCGTAGCTTGTGCGAATACTAGAATGAGTAGCTGGCGATTCACTCGCTGGTTTGCTATCGTTGGACTGCTGGTTTCTGATCTCGCAGTAATGCGACGTTTTGATCGGTGCATGTGAATATATGTGACGATGCCAAAAATGAATGTGCCTCCATCGGGAATGATAGACATGAAAACAAGATTGTAAACGGTGGTAATGATCGAGAGGAGACCAGGTGGAGGTGCACATGTACCATCTCGAAGATCGAAAACGATCATGTGAAAGACACTTGAAGTACACAGAAACACCATGATTGTTGTGAAAAGACGCTTTGCAAATGGAATCGAGCTCAGTTGTCGCCATCGAGCATGTGGCGATGTCGATACACATCGATCGAATGCTCCCAATAGAAAACATGTTGATGCTGTCGATGGAAAACAGAATAAAAGATATGGACGTACTTTGCATACCACTTGATTCGTAACGTAGAGATTATTTCCATAAAAATCTGTCACTGAACGAATAATAACGGGGATTCCGTCTGCAGCTACGTTGATTATAGAAGAACAAATCATATAAAATACGCAGGAGCTTTTTCGAAAATCTTTGAATAACAGTGTGATTAAATTGAGAATATTCCCAACTATTCCAAAAAATAACACTGTATAGAAGCCAGAAAGAGTAAAGTATACCGTTATTTCAGGTAATGATACCATATCAATCGAATGCAAGCAGAATGTAGATAGAAATTGTTTTTGCTTTGAATGAATGGAGAAGAAATAAAATCTGTCTTATAGATGCGATAGAGGCTGTTATTGAAAGAAATGTTTTTTTATAATCTTGATAGAATAGGAAAGATTTTTGCTCTTAATGTTCTTGTGATGTCACTTCTATTCCAAGAATCGGCATAAGTCAAGTGATGTGAAAACTTCTGAATCCATTAAGACATTGTCATCATTAGCTAATAAGCGTTCACAAATGATATCAGATGGAAAAGTCACTTGTGGACAAAGCTTTTAACTGCCGCTCTCGCTGGAAGTTTTCTTATGCTTTGATTTCTTCTCGTATTAATTCCTCAAGTCTTAAACGTCATTTCTGTTTTCGTTTTTCAATTTTCTGGAAAAAAGAAATCAAATATTTTCTGAGTTCATTCAAAACCAAGCCACAATCTTTGGGTTCGATAATTCCAACAGTCTGCAATGCAAATTTGACCACGAACATCAGTAACAACAACAACTCCTTCTCTTGCACCTTTTCTTCATTTCATCACTCGATGATTGCCGTAATCTAAAACATAAACTGACTGTTCATCATCAACGCAAACGAAACTAGGAATGTTGAACTGATCAAGTTGACTACCACATCCACTGCCATCAACGACTAACATTCCTTCATCATTCTCTCCAATGTTCCTATATAAATCCGTTTTTACGCACCACTAAAGCAGAACAGTCAACATTGTCAACGAGAATTTCCTGTTGATTGACGATCGGGGAAACTGAAATCCGATAATCTCTGAACTCTGAACAATCATCCTCGAATCAGACGCCTGTTCCCTCGATCAGCAATAAACACTGAGTTATTTTGTTTGTCAACAATCACATCTGTTTGGTTCGACTTCCATCTACAACAGCTTTTTCTTTATGTTTTATAAGAAATGGAAAAGAAAAATTAAAAGTGCTTTGACGACATGTTTCTTTTGTCATAGAGTATCTAATGAAAGATAACTTTCCGAAACCATAAGCCTTCTACACACTTTCATCGATTTCGACTATTTCTACTTGCAAATCGTTCATTCGTGATACCAAAGGTTATTGTTGACGTTCTTCTTGTTCGCCATCAATTTCGATCAAGTGAACGAGTTAACAGTTATTCGTCTGTTTCAATGGATCATTTTTTACTCGTAACTGAGTTTCAACTGGTACATTGATGTTCTTTTCTCTTTCATTTCGCACCTCAATCATGAAAATGTGCAGTTCGTTTGATTTTCTAGGAATTTCGTAATAACTTTGCCTGAAGATGAACATGGATTGATTGTCCACCATGTTAGCAATTGATTTTCGGCAAGCTCTCATCCATATTGAGAGCAATAGCTCGCTAAATGGACATCTTTACTTTTGGTAGTCTCCCTAGAGCTGAATCAAGTAGCTTCAAGTACAGGAACCAAACTATCAAAGTGTCTCTATTTCCATCACGTAAAGCTTTGCTTAAAACTCGATATAGACTAGTTCGCCACAATTCAATAACCATACACAGCTGGAAGCTTCTGGAATGAGCAGTCAATATCACCCAAACGATTCATTTTTCGAATTTGTCTGCAATGTAAATGAGATAACTTGCTTTGTTGGTCGAAAAGAGAAAATGAGGAAGCACGTTTTCGACAATGGAGAGCTTCTTATCTTTTTCTACCGGTCTCAAGTGACGTAAGGTCTTTTTTCTTCATCAGACTTGATTGAATCGGAATCTTATTTTAGTCCGATTGTCGAAGTCGTAACAAAACTATTGAAAACCGAGTTGTCGACTAAGAAGACACTGGACAGTTTATCATATATGTTATTTACTTATAATATTATTATAATAAAAAGTAGATCTTGACGATCTATATAATGACTAATGTCTTTCACACAAGCAAGGATGACGATAATCACGAACACGGCGATCGTTGCGTTCATAGTTCAGATAGAGACCGAGAAAATAACAGCTACACGTTGCAGTCTCGCGTTTGGCGAAAAGCTTGTATCGTTCATGGCGCCAAAGATTCCAATCTGCAATATCCCATTCTTCGTTTTTGCATATCCAATCCCATATGGACTGATCGGTTTCGCTGTTAAAGCGCCAATCTCGACACTTATGGCATTTCGCACATGGACGACCTCCACAAACGAGTTTATCACATTTGTCCGCGTCCGCAAATTCATAATGTTCTAGAAACAAAACTCATGTAAAGTTCATCACTATAACACTGTTCGTCCTACCGGAACGCGATTTCTTCGATTTTTCTGCGATAGAATTCATATTGGAAGTCTTCATAACCGTCGATTCCATCAAATCATCTTCGTCAGAGTCAACTTCAGCGTAATAATCATCTTTACTTTTATCGATTTCTTTCAAATAAATCGTATGTTTATCATTATGAACATGTGCTGGACATGGTATCACTTCGAATCTCGTACCTGGCATAAAGATCACTTCGTTTTTGCTTGGGTAGCGAGTATATGCAGCAATAGATCTTGCTGTTAAACACTCAATGATGAATACAGTTTTCTTTGGTGCATTGCTCAGACACGAAGATATGACGCTTGGAGATGTCGAACCTGAAATGATACCTCGCGAAGTAAATTTTTTATTTTTATTCTTGTCATTGAATAGCTCAGTAACATCTTTATCTGTTCCACACCAGACGGTCGTTTTGGTTAGTTTCGGTAATTTAGATATTGCGTTGTACAATAATCTCAAATACGCAAACCAAGGTCGAACTTTCGATCGATCATTGTCGCGTAAGGCTCTGTTAAGTAAACGATAAATGCGTACGTTCTTTGGCATTTCCATGGTGTAAAGAGAAATGGCAGCAGCGTCATCTTTACTCAATTTGTGTTCCTTCAAATTTGGACAATATTTCTTCGCATGTTTAATTGATTTCTGGATATCCGGCAGAAAATGTTGTACATTTTCTACAACTTGCTCGACAGGTAATACTTTGCATTTCATGTAATCATTACTTGCTGGTAAACGTGCTTTTACCAAAGTAAAATCTCTAAAACGCTCTCCGAAAATATTCATTGTGAAGTGATTAGCAGTTCGTATGCTATGTTGACAAAACACTCATTTGCTTCTCTAATGAAAACGGTGTTTCGTCGAGAATCAACACGATCGAGCGGTGCACTGTCGTTAGGAACGGATTTGATGCACTATTTTCGTTCACAAGAAATAATCGATGTGTTGCTTACACAAAGCAATCGACAAATGTGAAGCTTTTCGCTTCAAACACTTCAATGTCTCGAATGAGAGAAAAACAACGAAGCAAAGATTGTTTGTCGAGTCAGTACTTGAAACAACAGCCAGAGAAAAAAACGATTATTTCATTGTCAAGATGTTGACGCTTATGCGAAGCCTGTCTATTATGACAAAGCACATGTGTTAAAGAATTTTCATCAGCTGGTTCATAACTACCTCGAAAAATAGAAAAAAAACGGCACGTCACGATCACTACCGTGATGTTCGAACAGCGTGTTCTCAAACTTCTAGCGTCATCTGATTCTCTTGCAATTCTATACGTCAATAAAACGATCCAACCAGGTTGCCTTCTTTTTTTTTCATTTTATTTCATTTCCTATTTTGCCGTTGAAAACGAAACATGACACTCTCATTTCCCGTGTTCATTTCTCCTGCACCATACCATTTACTTTCATACGCATGCCTCGTGGGAATGACCCTTTGGCATTCGTTTATTAGCAGCCTCATCGCTCGCAAAACTTTACCTCGACCACAACTTGGTCAACTGCAAAGTCGGTTGTTTCCAATTTATTTCTTTCTACAAACCTTTCTCAGCGGGTTGTGCCTCTTAACAACGAAAAATCCGTATGGTCAGATTATATTTCTTATGGGTGTTGTCGGAGGACTTGTTAATTGGATTGTTTTCGGTCCATGGACAGTCAAGTATGACGTTCTCTTTTATTATTTTCGAAAATTTTCCTCTTTCTTTCGAATAGATTGATGAATAAACGCTTTGAATTGGAGCGCGAAGAAGGTAAGAAATACAATGAAGACGGTGTTAGCGATCAAATGAAAGAATTAAACAAACAATTTGGCATCGCACATGGAAGTAGCGTTATCATCAATATGATCATTGCTGTTTCACTCGTTGTCTACCCATTTCTTGTATCTCCAGTTATTGTCTAAAACACTTTGTGGTATATTTCATCTCATTATCTCAATAAAGTCGATTGAAACACTTCGTACATTCAGAACGCAGCATTTCGAACACTGCGAGATGTATATGTTTGAGCATGTTCGTCGCTGTGTCACTATAACTTATCATAAATAGAGATAACCGTCGAAATCATTCCACTGAAAAAATGATCAATGTATTTATTAGATGAAACAACGGCTGAAGCCGATCAAATACATATTGCACTTATTATCCCCTAACGTTCCATAATTTGAATTACAGAATCATAAACGAGTGATAAAGTGATTCGCACTGTGTAAAAAGAATCGGCATGCCGTTCTCGAAATGAGTTTGTTACGACGATCTTGGCAACAGCTGTGGTTTTTCTACAATGGATCATTCCAAATTTATTATTTACATTCAATATCGGTGATTTAGCAAACGACGACAGATAATCTATTCCATATTTTATTACTGCGCTTACAAACTATTGTCAGTATTTGAGCAATGTCAAAGTCGTTTATATCCGATTATAAACCTCACCTATATTCTGTGAAACGTTCTTCGCAGCTGAGAACTGACATTACTGGAGTTCAACCAGTTCTAGCCTGTTTTAAATTTGCACTAACTTATACAAAACCGGATAGTGTTCCACAAAACTTCGTGTGTAATTAATACTTCAAGTGGAACAAGAAAATAATTAGACTTATCTGTCATAGAAATGTTTTTGCTATCCGCATGTCTCAAGATAACTGATGTCGTTGAGTTAACCACCACTCTTCCAGAATACGTGTCCTTTTGACGTGTTATCTCACATTTGCAGATTCTATCTAGATGAACAGAACAAAATACTCTCCTACCTTGATCTACTAACACATTTATTTCGGTTCAAAACCTTAAAGACTTAATTGGCTAATTCTCATTACTCATCTTTGTGATAATACGCTGGAAGTAGTTTTACATATTCTGTCAAGAACGCATTCAATTTAGGTGAAAATATGTCATTGGCGTAAGATCAGCATATAAACCCTTGCTTGTAGCATTAAATTTAATACAAGCATGCGTCAATAAGACGTCAGCAAGTTTCATTAGTTTACACCAAGACATTCTTTTTTCTCTACGATCCCAGAGATTTTTTATCTTGATTATATAAGTATTCAATAGTTCAGAAAAAAAACCCAGAAAACGCTCATTTTCTCCAGTAGAAACTCGTTCGGATCTCACTCATCATCTCCATGAATAATTCAACTGTTGGTTCGATGTCCACCTCAGCTGTACTGCTCAGTTCTACGGTGACACGATATGTGTACAATATCTTACCAATATCATTTCTTATCCTTGGTAGCATTGGATTTCTCGGCAATATTCTCGCCTATTCGCAACGTGAACTTCGTTCAAATACATGTTGCGTTTATCTTCTGTGTGGGTCAATCGTAGACATGTTAAATCTGTTCGTGAATCTGTTACCACGTTTTCTCAATACGATGAATGGAATCTACATACCTTGGTTAAGATTACCTTCTTTTTGCAAATTCTACATATCCATCCTTGGCTTCTTGCCACATTTATCCATCAATTTTCTGCTCATGTCCATCATTGACCGGTATGCTTTGACTTGCAATCTGGGATCACCCATTCGTCGTATCAATCGCCTAACAATGGCTCCTGTGTTTGTTCTTCTTGCTATTTTCACTAGTGGTTTGACTACTATACGCACTATTGTACTGTATGAGTATCGAAGTACACAGGGATGTACAGCAACACATCCGTTGACGAACAACATTCTGTATGTTATCATAAATGGAGTGATGCAACCAGTAATCATGTTCATCTTTGTTATGTTAACTTTTCAAAATATCAAACAGAGCCGTAAACGAGTGGTAAGTTGACTAATTATATCCAACAAATTACCTACAAAGTGTCTTCATGTAGGGAGGAGCAACAGGTACGATCAATACCCGTCGTTCTCGAAGACAATTCGTCACGATGATCTTCACACAAATCGTCGCCACAGGTGTGATTTCATTACAATGGATAGTTATGTTCTCACTGAACGGCTTCGTGTTCAGTAGTATACAGAATTATGGAATGGCATCCGTAGTATCATTTGCTTACACCGTTTCGAACTATGGCTTCTATCTCAACAGTGTCAAAGCATTCTACATAGCGTTATTCACTTCACGTCTATTTCGAGAAAACTTTGTTTTTGCACTGATGAAAATGTTACCTCGTCGTATACGTCAACAATTTCAAATATCGCAAGCAAACGTTGCATTTGCAATTGGTACAGTAACCAATCAAGTGAATCCCAGAAGTCTACTAATGACTAGAAGAAACTGAAAGTGAACATTTGATGTCTGTTGTGATGTGATTATATATGTTGTTATGAGAATGATTGATATTCATGAGGAATAAATGATCGATCCATAACATCTTGTTTACGCGGAGAAGCGAATTTATGTAAGGCGGCTTCGTTTTAATTCCTAATATCGCTAAGATAGCAGATTAAATATGCTAATTAACTTTGCGTACAAATATATCAGGTCGCGCTGAAACATTTTGTGAGAACTAAAAAGAGGATTTCAATATACGCACAAGTACTTACAAAGATCGATTTATTTTTTTTAACATTAATCATTTTTTCTAAAGTTCAGAAAAATGCACTCGAAAGTCAACATTCTCATCATACATTGCTGATGTCATATTATATAATCACTTTAGGATTACTTTTCAGGCAGATAATAAAGTTGACTTTAGTTTTCAAATAATACTTCTTATACTATTTTGAACAAAGCTGATTATCGTAAAGTTATTCGATGCAACGAATTGACGTCAAAATACCGTCCTTTTTTAATGATAAAAACGAAGTCAACTGTAATCCCTTGCAATCCTCTTTGAGAAAGAAAAGGTAATAGTACCAAAAATCAAAATGGTATACTGTTCTTTTTGGTGCGTGTTAGTTCGTGTTGATGGCATTAAACACAACAGCAACTACCGTTGCTATTCTTTATACTGTACTGAGGAAATTTGTACTTCATTTACCAGTAATAAATCTTGCATTTGATTTCCTCGGACTTCTTGGCAATGCTTTCACTTACACACAACGTGAATTTTGTACAAATACATGCTGTATGTATTCACTATGCAGTTCAACTGTCGATGCTTTACATGTTCTCCTCAATCTATGCCCAGCTCATTTAAGTGGAACATTTGGAATATACATTCCTTGGCTACATATCCATATAGTTGCATTTTTCTCTCATTTATCCATCAAATTTCTATTTACGTCAATCATTGATTGGTATACTTCGACGTGCAAACTAATATCATCCATTCGTCGCATCAAGCAGTTTGACTCTTATTCGTCTTCTTCTGCTCTACGAATACCAAGATCTATTGAGATGTGCAACAACACACCCGTTAATAAACAATATTTTGTACATTATCATTAACGACCTCGTGTTACCGATCATCATATTGATCTTTCGAAACATCGAATGAAGTCGGAAACTGGTTGTGAGTATATTCATCAAGTGCTTGTTTTATGAAAATGAGTAATACATTTCATTGACAGGCAGGAACAGCAATAAGTGTAGCAGCAGCGAAAGCAAACATACGTCATTCCCGAAGACTATTTTGTCGGTGATGGTATAGAAAGTTTTGAGCAATGGTATATTCTATCTTTTGTTATCTTGTTGCAATTTACTATTTCTATCACAACAATGTCAAAGTACTTAATCTTTCTTTGTTAATGTCTCGTCTGTTCCGAGCAGCTTTTTTCAAGGTTACGAGAAATGCATTACATCGTCATCTGTGGAAGACATCGTAGGCATACCACATCATGATGACGGATGCAGACATCAACCAAACACATAAACCAAAGTCTATAGTACATAAGTAAACTGCGAAATAATAGTGTTGTTTGTGAAATTGTGAACTAGTAAAGGCTGGACGAAGATGTTTGGTAGTTGATTTATGTCAGTCCAATAAATTATATAAATCAGAAAATATGTACTCATTTTTCTTTTTATGTCACAGCGTTGACTGGAAAAAAGTGACAAGCCACTTTACTACTTAATAATTGACAATTAACATTTATATTTACTGTCTACGGATATACAAAGGTCTGTATATAAAATAAAAAAGAGATTCACATGCAAATGTATCGGTTCAAATCAATTAAAAAGCGACTTTTAAAAGAAAAACATGTTTTCATGAAACTGGAGTCATCGTTGTCGTTATTGTTGGTCTTGTTTGAGTATTAAATCCAGAATACTGCACTGGCTGAGTGTAAGGTGGTGGGGGTGGCTGAGAAAAGTTCGGTGGTTTGTATTGATTTTCTTGAGCGAACGCCATTTGTACGGCTAGTGATCGATCATTTATTCTTCGTTTCCTATTCTTGATGAGTTTCACACGGCAAATGATCAGCAGTATCATTAGTGCTATGAAGACAACACCACCCGCCACTGAAAGACCTATAATAGCTTCAGTGGATAGTGCACTAGTACCACTACTGCCACTAACTGAAGAATACCGTCTTGCAGAACATGTGTGAATTAGAAGAAGCGATAATAATCGTGTGAAAATGCTTGCCATCGTCTGCGTAGATTTCATTTTTGACTAAAAGTTTAGAATAGAAAAGAAATGCAATGACATCGAGTTTTATAATGTCGAACTGACGTCAATGGCATTGCCTACGTCAACGAATAACGCATGCGTTTGTTTGATTTTTCAAATAAAGCATGCTTAGTTTGTACTCTGTGCTCTCTTAGTTTTTATTCATCGATACCTTGTGTAAATACATAGAAAAGAAATAAATAAATTTGAATCGCATCGAAGACAGTTGTCGTTTGACCAGCAGTATTCGATGTAGGTTTCAATGTTGATGAGGTCGTTGTTTGATTAGTCTTTGTCTGAATAACGGATTGAATCCAATCATAATAGAATGAGAGTCGTGTATAGATCCCTGGATTGTTTACATGAGCACATTGCTGACCGAAACTGACAATACCCACTTGTTCCCAGTGGTCGCCAAGCCATTGGTGTATCGGACCACCACTGTCACCTGATCAGAATGAAAAAAGATCGATTTTGATTGAACTGAACTTTCAATGTCAACTGACCTTGACAGGAATCTTTTCCACCGCCATCAACCATGGCACAAAACTGTCGATCAATGTCAAAGATCGAATTTGCGCACCGTTCATCATCGTTTGCGATTGCTTTCACACGTACTTGACGTAATTTCTTCGGACGACCATGTCCCCAAGCTAATGTTCCCCACCCAATTACNTGCCAATGTTTCCCAGGTGACTATTATAGTCTGGGAAATCCCAAATATCTGGCCCAGTTTTGTGGGGGGGGGGGGGGGATGGGTCCAGATTTCTACCCCTAAACCTTCAACACTCCCTTCCAGGTCGTGTTTCACAAAAAAAGCAGATTCGCTTGTTGAATGAGAGCTTCAATTTGCTGACGTTCAACACTCTTCTTAACAGACCTCGTGAGGAGATTGTATGCAAATGCGCTCGACCGAAGAGCTCCGGTGACGGCACCCATCGTAGCTTGTGCGAATACTAGAATGAGTAGCTGGCGATTCACTCGCTGATTTGCTACCGTTTGATCGGTGCACGTGAATATATGTGACGATGCCACAAATTAACCTGCTTCGATGGGGAATGATAGACATCGATCGAATGCTCCCAACAGAAAACATGTTGATGCTGTCGATGGAAAACAGAAGAAAAGACATGGACGCACTTTTCATACCATTTGATTCGTAACATAGAGATTATTTCCATAAAAATCTGTCACTGAACGAATAATAACGGGGATTCCGTCTGCAACTGCGTTGATTATAGGGGAACAAATCATATAAAATATCCAGGAGCTTTTCCGAAAATCTTTGAATAAGAGTGTGATTAATTTGAGAATATTCCCAACTATTCCAAAAAATAACACTGTATAGAAGCCAGAAAGAGTAAAGTAGTCCATTATTTCAGGTAGTGATACCATATCAATCGAATGCAAGCAGAATGTGCGTAGATAGGGATTGTTTTTGCTTTGAATGAATGTAGAAGAAATAAAATCTGTCTTATAGATGCGATAGAAGCTGTTATTGAAAGAAATGTTTTTTTTAATAATCTTGATAGAATAGGAAAGACTTTTGCTTTTAATGGGATCGTAGATGATATTTCTTGTGGTGTCACTTCTATTCCAAGAATCGGCACAAGCCAAGTGACGTGAAAACTTCTGAATCCATTAAGACATTGTCATCATTAGCTAATAAGCTTTCACAAATGGCATCGGATGGAAAAGTCACTTGTGGACAAAACTGTTAACTGCCACTTTCGCTCGAAGTTTTCTTATGCTTAGATTTCTTCTAGCATTAATTCCTCAAGTCTTCAACGTCATTTCTGTTTTCGTTTTTTAATTTTCTGGAAAAAAGGAAGAAAAGGAATCAGATATTTTCCGAGTTCATTCAAAACCCAACCACAATTTTTGGGTCCGATGGTTCCAACACTCTGCAACGTAAATTTGATCACGAACATCAGTAACAACAACAACTCCTTCTCTTGCACCTTTTCTTCATTTCATCACTCGATGATTGCCGTAATCTAAAACATAAACTGACTGTTCATCATCAACGCAAACGAAACTAGGAATGTTGAACTGATCAAGTTGACTACCACATCCACTGCCACCAACGACTAACATTCCTTCATCATTCTCTCCAATGTTCCTATATAAATCCGTTTTTACGCACCACTAAAGCAGAGCAGTCAGCATTGTCAACGAGAATATCCTGTTGATTTACGATCAGGGAAACTAGAAATCCGATAATTTCTGAACCCTGATCAATCCATCCTCGATCAGCAATAAACACTGAGTTATTTTGTTTGTCAACAATCACATCTGTTTGATTCGACTTCCATCTACAACAACTTTTCCTTTATGTTTTTATAAGAAATGGAAAAGAAAACTGCAAAGTGCTTTGACGAAATGTTTTTTTATCATAGAGTATCTAATGAAAGACAACTTTCTTAAACCATAAGCCTTCTACACACACCCTCGATTTCGACTATTTCTATTTGCAAATCGTTCATTCGTGATAACAAAGGTTATCGTTGACGTTCTTCTTGTTCGCCATCAATTTCGATCAAGTGAACGAGTTAACAGTTATTCGGCTGTTTCAATGGATCATTTTTCACTCGTAATCGAGTTCTAACTGGTATATTGATCTTCTTTTCTTTTTCATTCCGCACCTCAATCATGAAAATGTGCAGATCGTTTGATTTCCTAGGAATTTCTTAATATCTTTGCCTGAAGATGAACATGAATTGACTATCCACGATGTTACCAAATGATTTTTGGTATATCAAAGTATCTCTATTTCCATCATGTAAAGCTTTGTTTAAAACTCGATAACCATACACAGCTGGAAGCGTCTGGAATGAGCAGTCAATATCAACCAAACGATTCATTTTTCGAATTCGTCTGCTATGTCAATGAGATAACTTGCTTTGTTGGTTGAAAAGCAAAAATGAGGAAACACGTTTTCTACAATGGAGAGCTTCTTATCTTTTTTTAACGGTCTCAAGTGACGTAAGGACGGTTTTCATCATCAGACTACCTAAGTCGCAACAAAACTATTGAAAACTGAGTTTTCGACTAAGAAGACACTGGACAGTTTATCATATGTTATTTACTTATAATATTATTATAATAAAAAGTAGATCTCGACGATCTATATAATGACTAATGTCGTTCACACAAGCAAGGATGACGATAATCACGAACACGGCGATCGCTGCGTCCATAGTTCAGATAGAGACTGAGAAAATAACAGCTACAAGTTGCAGTCTCACGTTTGGCGAAAAGCTTGTATCGTTCATGGCGCCAAAGATTCCAATCTGCAATATCCCATTCTTCGTTTTTGCATATCCAATCCCATATGGACTGATCGGCTTCTCTGTTAAAGCGCCAATCTCGACACTTGTGGCATTTCGCACATGGACGACCTCCACAAACGAGTTTATCACATTTGTCTGCTTCCGCAAATTCATAATGTTCTAGAACAAAACTCATGTAAAGTTTATCGCTATAATACTGTTCGTCCTACCGGAACGCGATTTCTTCAATTTTTCTGTGATAGGATTCGTATTGGAAGTCTTCATAACCGCCGATTCCATCAATTCATCTTCATCAGGGTCAACTTCACCGTAATAATCGTCTTTGCTTTTATCGATTTCTTTCAAATAAATCGTATGTTTATCATTGTGAACATGTGCTGGACATGATACCACCTCGAATCTCGTACCCGGCATAAAGATCACTTCATTTTTGCTTGGGTAGCGCGTATATGCAGCAATGGATCTTGCTGTTAAACACTCAATGATGAATATGGTTTTCTTTGATGCATTGCTCAAACACGAAGATATAACGCTTGGAGATGTCGAACCTGAAATGATACCTAGCGAAGTAAATTTTTTATTTTTATTCTTGTCATTGAATAGCTCAGTGACATCTTTATCTGTTCCACACCAGACAGACGTTTTGGCTAGTTTCGGTAGTTTAGATATTGCGTTGTGCAATAATCTCAAATACGCAAACCAAGGTCGAACTTTCGATCGATCATTGTCACGTAAGGCTCTGTTAAGTAAACGATAGATGCGTACGTTCTTTGCCATTTCCATGGCGTAAAGAGAAATGGCGGTAGCTTCATCTTTACTCAATTTGTGTTCCTTCAAATTTGGACAAGATTTCTTCGCATGTTTAATTGATTTCTGGATATCCGGCAGAAAATGTTGCACATCTTCTACAACTTGCTCGACGGGTAATAATTTGCATTTCATGTAATCATTACTTGCTGGTAAACGTGCTTTTACCAAAGTAAAATCTCTAAAACGCTCTCCGAAAGTATTCATTGTGAAGTGATTAGCAGTTCGTATGCTATGTTGACAAAACACTCATTTGCTTCTATAATGAAAACGATGATTCGCCGAGAATCAACGTGATCGAGCGGTGCACTGTCGTTAGAAACAGATTCGATGCACTATTTTCGTTCACAAGAAATAATCGATGTGTTGCTTACACAAAGCAATCGACAAATGTGAAGCTTTTCGCTTCATACACTTCAATGTTTCGAATCAAAGAAAAACAACGGAGCAAAGATTGTTTGTCGAGTCAGTGCTTGAAACAACAGCCAGAGAAAAAAACGATTATTTCACTGTCAAGATGTTGACGCTTATGCGAGGTGTGTCTATTATTGCGAAGCACATGTGTTAAAGAATTTTCATCAGCTGGTTCATAACTACCTCGGAAAATAGAAAAAAAAACGGCACGTCACGATCACTACTGTGATGTTCGAATAGCGTGTTCTCGAACTTCTAGCGTCATCTGATTCTCTTACAAATCTATACGTCAATAAAACGATCCAACCAGGTTGCCTTCCTTTTTCTTTTCATTTTATTTCATTTCCTCTTTTGACATTGAAAACGAAACATGACACTCTCATTTTCCATGTTCATTTCTCCTGCACCATACCATTTACTTTCATACGCATGCCTTATAGGAATGAGCATTTGGCATTCGTTTATTAGCAGTCTTGTCGCTCGCAAAACTTTACCTCGACCACAACTTGGTCAACTACAAAGTCGGTTATTTCCAATTTACTTCTTTCTACAAACTTTTCTCAGCGGCTTGTGCCTCTTAACAACGAAAAATCCGTACGGTCAGATTATATTTCTTATGGGTGTTGCCGGAGGACTTGTTAATTGGATTGTTTTCGGTCCATGGACAGTCAAGTATGACGTTCTCTTTTGTTAATTTCGAAAATTTTCCTCTTTCTTTCGAATAGATTGATGAATAAACGCTTTGAGTTGGAGCGCGAAGAAGGTAAGAAATACAATGAAGATGGTGTTAGCAATCAAATGAAAGAATTAAACAAACAATTTGGCATCGCACATGGAAGTAGCGTTATCATCAATATGATCATTGCTGTTTCACTCGTTATCTACCCATTTCTTGTATCTCCAGTTATTGTCTAAAACAATTTGTGGTACATTTCATCTCATTATCTCAATAAAGTCGATTAAAATACTTCATACATTCAGAACGCAGCATTTCTAACAGTGCGAGATGTGCATGTTTGGATCTATCTATCGTCACGTCACTGCAACTAATACTTTTATTTTGAGACGCGTATACTACTTCTCATACATCCAGATAACATCCGAAGTCAAAAATTTATCATATAAAATAATTCCAATGAAAATATGAGCAATATATTTGTTGAATGAAACAACAACTGAAATCAGTGATTGTCATTTGTAATTATATACAAAGATTGCATTTTCCGTTTTTTGGTACTAACCTCAACAACAGATAACATCCAATCGAATGTCTTCGTCGAACAAAACATCTTCCATTCTACAATCTTCTGCGAAATTCAACTGACTTTATTCGTTTCTTTCACCTTTGAATGGTTTGTTTCGTCTTTGAGTTGGCAACTTTATCGTCATGATGTCATTTGTATTTTACACCGAATAAAGAGAAAGATACTTTGACATTTTTTTCGCTTGACTAAGAACATTTTGTAGTCACATCATTTAAATATACGATCAACATGATACTTATATACATAATGGAACTGCAATCTATTTGTTGATAACGGTACAATCACTCTTCACTAACGATTGTTGATGACCAGATACGAAAAAACGAAATTGATTTCCTACCTCGGTCTATGTACCTTGTTTAAATGAAAGTGCTTATATAAACCAACTTGATAATTTCAATCTATCAAGTTCAATTTAGCTTTGTGTCCAAGCGTTCAGTTGACCGAAAACAGAATTATCATTAATCACCACTCTCACCGTCGAAGCGAATGTTCTACTTGTCAGAGTTCGACAAGTTCTATCTTCTATTAACGTTGCGCTAATCTGTAGGCGATTATTGTTCCACACAACTTCGTATGTAATTAATACTTCAAGTCAAACAGGAAAATAAGTAGATTTATCTGTCATAGAAATGTTTTTCCTATTCGCATGTCTCAAGATAACTGATGTCGTTGAGTCAACCACCTCTCTACCAGAATACGTGTTCTTCCGACGTGTTATCTCATATTTGCAGCTTTTGTCTAATTGAACAGAACAAATACTCTCCTACCTTGATCTACTAACACATTTATTTTGGCTAATTTTCATTATACATCTTTGTGATAATACGCTGCAAGTAGCTTTACATATTCTGTCAGAAACGCATCCAATTTAAGTGAAAATGTGCCATTGGCGTACGATCAGCATATAAACCTTTGCTTGTAACATTAAATTTAATACAAGCATGCGTCACTAAGACGTCAGCAAGTTCCATTAGTTCACACCAAGACATTCTTTTTTTTCTACGATCCGAGAGATTTTTTTCTTGATTATATAAGTGTTCAGTAGTTCAGAAAAAAACTAGAAAAAGTTCATTTTCTTTAGTAGAAACTCATTGGGATATCACTTACCATCTCAATGAATAATTCAACTGTTGTTTCGGTGTCCACCTCAGCTGTACTGCTTAGTTCTACGGTGACACGGTACGTGTACAATATCTTACCAATATCATTTCTTATTCTCGGTACCATCGGATTTCTCGGCAATGCTCTCACCTATTCGCAACGTGAACTTCGTTCAAATACATGCTGCATCTATCTTCTGTGTGGCTCAATCGTAGATATGTTAAATCTGTTCATGAACCTGTTACCACGTTTTCTCAATACAATGAATGGAATATACATACCTTGGTTAAGATTGCCTTCTTTCTGCCAATTCTACATATCCATCCTTGGCTTCTTGCCACATTTATCCATCAATTTTCTCCTCATGTCCATCATTGATCGGTATGCTTTGACCTGCAATCTGGCATCACCCATTCGTCGTATTAATCGTCTAACAATGGCTCCTGTGTTTGTTCTTCTTGCTATTTTCACTAGTGGTTTGACTACTATACGCACTATTGTACTGTATGAGTATCGAAGTGCATTCGGATGTACAGCAACACATCCGTTGACGAACAACATTCTGTATGTTATGATAAATGGAGTGATGCAACCAGTAATCATGTTCATCTTTGTGATGCTAACTTTTCAAAATATCAAACATAGCCGTAAACGAGTGGTAAGTTGACTAATTATATCCAACAACTTACCTACAAAATGTCTTCGTGTAGGGAGGAGCAACAGGTGCGATCAATATCCGTCGTTCTCGAAGACAATTCGTCACGATGATCTTCACACAAATCATCGCCACAGGTGTGATTTCATTACAGTGGATAGTTATGTTCTCACTGAGCAGCTTCGTGTTCAGTAGTATACAGAACTATGGAATGGCATCCGTAGTGCTATTTACTTACACCGTTTCGAACTATTGCTTCTATCTCAACAGTGTCAAAGCATTCTACATAGCGTTATTCACTTCACGTCTATTCCGAGAAAACTTTGTTCTTGGACTGATGAAAATGTTACCTCGTCGTATGCGTGAACAATTTCGAATATCGCAGGCAAATATTGCATTCGCAATAGGTACAGTAACCAATCAAGCGAATCCCAGAAGTCTACTAATGACTAGAAGAAACTGACGGTGAACATTTGATATCTGTTGTGATGTGATTATACATGTTGTTATGAGAATTATTGATATATATGCAGAAGAAATGATCAAACCGTAACATCTTGTTTACGCGGAGAAGCGAACATGAATTTATGTAAGGCGCGGCTTCATTTTAATTCCTAATATGGCTAAGATAGCAGATTAAATATGCTAATTAACTTTGCGTATAAATATATCAGATTGCGCTGAAATATTTTGTGAAAACTAAAAAGAGAATTTTAATACACGCACATGTAATTATTTACAAAGGTCGACTTATTTTTTTTAAACATTAATCATTTTTTCTGAAGTTCAGAAAAATGCACTTGAAAATCAACATTACCGTCATGCATTGCTGATGTCGTATTTTATAATCACTTTAGGATTACTTTTCAGGCGGATAATCTTCAATTTAGCCGAACTCGTATACTAAAGTTGACTTTTGTTTTCAAATAATACTTTTTATACTATTTTGAACAAAGCTGATTATCGTAAAGCTATTTGCTGCAACGAAGTGACGTCAAAATACCATTCTTTTTTATGATAAAAACGAAGGCAATACTGTACTGAGGAAATTTGTACTTCATTTGCTACCAATAATTCTTACATTTGATCTCCTCAGACTTCTTGACAATGTCTCCACTTACACACAACGTGAATTTCGTACAATGCATGTTGTATCTTCACCTCAATCTATTGCCAGCTCATTTGGGTAGAACATTTAGAATATACATTCCTTGATCGCAAATTAGCTAACTTCTACAAATTTTACATATTCATGCTCGCATTTTTCTCTCATTTATCCATCAATTTTCTATTCATGTCAATCATTGACAGAAAGGAGCAGCAAACATACGTCATCCACGAAGACTATTTTATCGGTGATGGTATAGAAAGCGTTGAGCAATGGTATACTCTATTTTTTGTTATCCTGTCGCAATTTACTGTTTCTATCACAACGATGTCAAGGTATTTTATCTTTCTTTGTTAATGTCTCGTCTGTTTCGAGCAGCCTTTTTCAAGGCTACGGGAAATATATTACATCGTCATCTGTGGAAGACATCGTAGGCAAACCACATCACGATGATGGATGCAGACATCATTCAAACACATAGATCAAAGTCTATAGTGCATACATAAACTACGAACTAGTAGAGGCTGGACGAAGATGTTTGGTAGTTGATTTATGTTAGTCCAATAAATTATATAAATCAGAAAATATGCACTCATTTTTCTTTTTATGCCGCAGGATTGAGTGGAAAAGAGTGACAAGTCATTTTACTACTTAATAATTGACAATTAACATTTACGTCTACTGCCTACGGACATACATAGATCTGTATATAAAATAAAAAGGAGATTCACATGCAAATGTATCGATTCAAATCAATTCAAAAACGATTTATGAAAAAAACATGTTTTCATGACACTGGAGTCATTGTTGGTCTTGTCTGAATATTAAATCCAGAATACTGCACTGGTTGAGTGTAAGGTGGCGGGGGTGGCTGAGAAAAGTTCGGTGGTTTGTATTGATTTTCTTGAGCGATTGCCATTTGTACGGCTAGTGATCGATCATTTATTCTTCGTTTCCTATTCTTGATGAGTTTCACACGACAAATGATCAGCAGTATCATTAGTGCTATAAAGACAACACCACCCGCCACTGAAACACCTATAATAGCTTCAGTAGATAGTGAACTAGTACCACTACTGCCACTACCTGAAGAATACCGTCTCGCGGAACATGTATGAACTAGAAGAATCGATAACAGTTGTGTGAAAATGCTTGCCATCGTCTGCACAGATTTCATTTGACTAAAAGTATAGAACAGAAAAGAAATGCAATGACATCGAGTTTTATAATGTCGAACTGTGACGTCAATGGCATTGCCTACGTCAACGAATAACGCACGCGTTTGTTTGATTTTTCAAACAAAACATGCTTAGTTTGTACTGTGCGCTCTCTTAGTTTTTATTCATCGACACGTTGGATTAATACATAGAAAAGAAATAAATAAACTTGAATCGCATCGAAAGCAATGGTCGTTTGACCAGCAGTATTCGATGTAGGTTCCAATGTTGATGAGGTCGTTGTTTGATTAGTCTTTGTCTGAATAACCGATTGAATCCAATCATGATAGAATGAGAGTCGTGTATAGATCCCTGGATTGTTTGCATGAGCACATTGCTGACCGAAACTAACAATACCCACTTGTTCCCAGTGGTCGCCAAGCCATTGATGTATCGGACCACCACTGTCACCTGATTAGAATGAAAAAAGATCGATTTTGATTGAACTGAACTTTCAATGTCAACTGACCTTGACAGGAATCTTTTCCACCGCCATCAACCATGGCACAAAACTGTCGATCAATGTCAAAGATCGAATTTGCGCATCGTTCATCATCGTTTGCGATTGCTTNACAATACCCACTTGTTCCCAGTGGTCGCCAAGCCATTGATGTATCGGACCACCACTGTCACCTGATTAGAATGAAAAAAGATCGATTTTGATTGAACTGAACTTTCAATGTCAACTGACCTTGACAGGAATCTTTTCCACCGCCATCAACCATGGCACAAAACTGTCGATCAATGTCAAAGATCGAATTTGCGCATCGTTCATCATCGTTTGCGATTGCTTTCACACGTACTTGTCGTAATTTCTTCGGACGACCATGTCCCCAAGCTAATGTTCCCCACCCAATTACTGCTAACCGTGTATCAAGAGCTGGATAATCTGTACCCTACATTTGAGCTGGCAAGCACGTCAAACCAGCATAAGTTTCAGGCGAAGTCAGATTAGCTGGAGGTGATATTCGTATCAAAGCAATATCATTGATATGTTTCGGTGGAGGTACATAATCAGGATGTGAAATAACTTCGACGATAGAAACGATCTGTGGAGATGGCAAATCTTCATCATGATCTCCAATATGAATAGTAACTTGTGTATGAAAGCCTGGCTTAGGTAAACAGTGCGCAGCTGTTAGCACCCATTCAGAATTGACGAGAGATCCACCGCACGCATGGCCTAGAGGTGGAGCACGAAGTGAAACGATCCATGGCCAACTGTGTGGCTGTGCAGTCTCACCACCGACTATACGGCTGTCGAGTGAGGATGGTTCGTCATGAAAAACAACTGGAACAGACGAACATCCACATGAATAACTTGTATTGCATACAAATGAAATAGGAGGTCCTAGCACCTCGGGTGGTATAGTAATTGGTGATGTTGGAGCTGGAGTTGGTATTGTCGGTATAGGTACAGGCGTTGGTGGTGGATTGTTTAAGATTGACCAGATCCACTCAGCATACGGCGCAACTCGAGTGAATAGACCTTCTGTAGTACATTTAGTTCGATGACCTATAATGCCCACAAGTTCATATTGTTGATTTTCATTCGAATAAACCATCAATGGACCACCCATATCATCTAGATAGAAATATGTTTTATATTTATACAAGACATAACTATAGTTGAATATATACTTCGACAAGTACCTAGAATGGAGAACGATTTAGACTTGGATCAAGGAGAAAATATTTCGTTTACCACTAGCACAAAGCTGCGTCGTTGCATTTTTCAATTTAGTCGTTGTACATTCGACATTCTCTTGAATACTGACTTGATGCAAAGTCGTTGTTACTGGTGTATGATTCGTATTCATCCATCCGACTGCTACCAGATTCATACTTTCCACTGATGTTAAGTTCGATAGTATAATCGGTGAAATATTTGTCGTATTGAAGTCAAATGGTGGATATACTCGTACCAATGCAATATCATTGAGATGATCATCAGTCGTATAGTTCGGATGTTGAATTAAATGCGAAATCGCAGTCGTTTGCACAGCTGTGTCGTTATCGAGTTTATGGAGACCTGCGGTGACTGTGTAATATTGAGTGAGGTATGCTGAATTCTCAAAGCAACTCGCCGAAGTTAAAAGAAATATATCGGAAATAATAGTGCCACTACATGTTCGTTTCATGATATTCATAAAATTAAAACGTAAGA